CTGCGAAGCGAGCCCAGAAACTCCGGATCGGGGTCTCCATGTTGTGGGGGCAGGGTCTCGGTCACATCCACGACCGGATCATCGCTCTCATCAGGAAGCATGAGCCTCGTCACCCGGAAGGGTTTGACATTTTCATTTCGTGGACTGGCAATGACGTCTACGGCAAGTGGGGCTACAAGGCCTTCACCTGGCACCACCAGTCGCCGTGGGTGAAAGAGACGGCAGAGATGGCTCGCAAAGCCTTCGAGTGGCCGATCAAGCAGCTCAAGAAAGTTCAGGAAGATGTCGTCAAGATCGCCGCCCTAAAGGACCGGCCAGGGGTGAATTCTGTGACAATGATCTCAGGCCCCGAGAATGGCTTTATGTACGGCCTGCCGGAAGAGTACGACGAGGAGATGACTCGCCACACGAAAGTGTTGGCCGAAGCAGGTGTGAGACTGGTCGACCCCAACCCAGTGTTGGGCGCCACTGACAGACCAGACAAGTTTCACACGAACTTCACGGCTGACAATGTGGCCGCGGTTGTCACATGGTACAAGTCACTCGTCACCGCCACAGTCTTTGACCGTGCGGTGACGGACTTGCGATCAGAATTGGTTGCCAACCGCCGAGAGGTGGTCTTCTTCGAGCACTTCCACCTGGCCAAGCCGGACTCCCGTATTACGGTCCCGCCATTGAAGGACATGCACGTCTGTGCTGACACCGAGCGCGAGGAACCGCCAGACGTCCGGGGGGACGACGAACAGATCGTGTTGAGTGCTCCGCTGTTGGCCGCACATCAGGATCTTCTGTGTGCCGAGCCGGAGGAGCTGACCGACACCGATCGTGTCCTCTTCGACACGACACCTGGAGCCGAAAATGTTGTCCAGAGAACTGAGGACAACTCGGATCCCTCTGTGATGATCACCAAGCTCCAGATCGGCAGTCACGGTGAAGAGGCTGCGACTGATGAAGAGATTGCCTTGGCGAATGCCCTCGGCGTCTACGGTCTCGATCTGGAGATTGGTCGCACCTCTAACGAGGATGCTGAGTCTAGCAAAATCTTCAAAGACATTGAGGAGCTCACTGAAGAAGAACTCAGCAAGCGGCCCCGATTCTACGCGAGGGGATCTGTCGGGATTCAGAATTTGATGAGGGAAATGCAGTTGGAGGAGGCCAAGAAACCACCTGTTCCTCCAAAGGCGCGGCCCGCTGACGCGGAGCCTAAGGCAACTGGTATCTTACCTTTGGCCACGAAGGCTCATGCTGTACCTCCAGCCGTGCCGCAGGCTGCATCCTCATCGTCGGCGTCTGGCACACTCCCGCCTAAGGAAGTTCCTGGGAAGTCTGCATCGTCTGGCGCAAAGCCTACTGAACCGTTGCAGCCACCGCCTCCTAAGAAGATGCCTATCACCGCTGTGAAATCGGCACCTACGCCAAAGGCGGAGCACGCTGCCAGTGACAAGGCAGAAGCGTCACCTCCCGGAAGGGATGGTCAGTTTTGGTTGTCAGGCCCGGACCTGCCGCCCTTCGCGTCTGATCATCGACACCTCAGTGAGGGCCAGCGCTTCAAACTGGGCAAGAAGTGTGCATTCGTCCTTAGAGGCTTCACCAACAAGCCCGAGTACGGCAATAGAACGCCGACAGTGACGATCCGTCGGAACGACCTCTCGATGGACTGGGAAGAGTTCATCGATGCCCTTAGCCAGATCTGGAACGGGCTCAAGGTCTCCCAGATCTTCGAAGTCTTTAAGACTCCAGTCGACGGGAAAGCCCGCTACGAAGTGTACATTCAGAAGCACAATGATCAGGAATTTGACGTGCTTCGAGCTCGGGCTATCCATGGGCATTGGTCGGGGCTCTTCGGTGACGATACCGAACTCGCCGACATCCACTCCGTGGTGCATTCCTTTGTGCCATGGGACGCCAGTCTAGCGACTCGGCCTAAGATTCATCCGTTCGACATGTACTCCCAGGAGTTTGTCGATTTCCCTTGCAAACTGGGCTACCACGGCACCTTCATGAGGCACTTCCCAGATATCATCAGATACGGATTGTTGCCAGGTGGTGCCGCGCTCCACGAGAGTGGTAGCAGAGCTTTTGTCATGATGTCAAAGCAACCAGAATGGAAAAGGGATGACAATGCGGGCCTTCGCGAGGCGGCGGACGTCGAGTTCGCCATCGATCTCCAAATGGCCGTCTTGGACGGCGTCCGGCTCTTCGAGACTCGCTCCGGGGCACTGGAGACGCCAGATTGGATCAGCAATCGATATCTGGTTTACGCTTATCAGCGGGGCACAGCAGAGCCTGTGTGGGTCAATCCGGCCTACCAGGCGTTCCGTCGGAACATTGACTCCGCTCTAGCGAGCTGGAACAAGGATGGAAGCCACAAGTACATCTTTGGTCCAGATCAATTTGCCTTGGAGCAGCACAACTGTTTTCTCGACTTGTTGGAAACCGCCGAGAATCTCACCATCGCTGAGTGGGCGCCGGCCGCAATCGACTGCAAGACCCCGTTTCGCATTTCGGCGGACATCTTGAGCGAGGTCGGCGAAGAAGTCATCGAGCGAAGGAAGAACGATGACCAGCTCATCGAAACATATGACGGCTCGCTCGGAATCGGCATCCACGTCTGGCCATCCATGGAAGGCAAGCGGATCCGACTTCGCCAGAGGATTGAACCGAGGCACTGGATCAAACAGGAGTTGGTACTCTACCCCGGGTACCATTGCAGCTCGTGCAATCACAAGTACATCGACGGAATGATCTCCTGTCCAGGTTGCCAACGTCGCCTCATCGAGATGACCGACCTTGCGATTATCGCCGAGCCCGACAGACTCCGGCGAAGCGCCGCCCGAGAGGGCAGGCAGGTCAACATCATTGACTTGCAGCCATCCTCGGGGCTCAAGCACGCGCGTGTGAAGATTCAAGGGCCAGAAGAAAGGGAACGAATCCAAAGCACAGCGTCTGGCATCCGCCAGAAGGTCCTCAATCAGCAGAAGAGAGCGGAGAAGCTCCACAACACCACTCCGCAGGGGCAGTACAGTGTGGACCCCATCACTGCTCACAACTACGCCAAAATGGGTCTCAGCTTTCACACTGTCGAGGCGCTGCAACGCTTCGCTAACGTGAGGCTTCCTGATCCTCAGGGCAAAGGAAAAGGGCATGGTTCGTCCACCTACTATGATGCCACTGGAAAGGTTGCCCTCCTCTGGGTGACAGGCCAGCTTGAGATCGACCTCCTCACGGAGTGTCTGATTTGTTTTCATGATCGGTTTTACACCATCAATGAGATTGCAGTTCTCATCAAGGCTGTGAAGTCGAACCAGCATGAGTTTTCCATCCTGCAGTACGATGGGGAGAAATACATCGTCGTGCAGAATGAAATCTTGCCGATCATGGCCGAGCTGGCTACTTTCTTCAAGGCACAACTGCCGCTGAGCCGGACAAGGATCGAGAAGACAAATCCTTCTCTTCGCACCCAGGGAGACCTGCAGGTACCCGCTGAGGCACAGGGACTTGGCAAACGTCAGCTCAACGAGTTGCTGGCCAATACCCCTTACTATCGTCGGTACCAGCAGTACTACATGGACAAGCGCATCGGTGAGAGCGGCCACGTGAGGTTGACCACTTCGGCACCCGCGTCCGAACGCCGCCCACCTGAGCCTCCGGCATCTCCTGCACGACGAGGTCGCAGCTCTGACGAGCGTGCATCGGGTACAGCAGAGCGCAATCGCACAAGGTCCCCGATCGCCAGACATCGTCCGACCGAGGTCCACATCCGGACCAACCCTGGAGATGGAGCGGGCTCATCTACCGATCGCACCCCTCGGGAGCCTGCGATGCCGCCGCCCAGGCGTGTGGCACGTGATCCGTCCAGCTACATCAGTGACGCGGATTGGGATGCAATGCGTGCTGGTACAGGCTTCAGCAGTCCAGCACCGGAAACGGTTGCTCCCGATACCACTATGGATGGAACAGTGAGCGAGACACCGTCCTCTGCTGTTGATCTTGGCACAAGGCGCGAATGGTCCGAGACCTACCGCCGGCGACCCCATGATCCACCGACCTTCGGCGTGTTCTTCGAGACGAGAGATGTCCCCGACCGACAGGTCCGGATGCGTGAGACTGTTGTCAACTTCTTTGAGCAGCTCAGGGTCGCAGGATTGTTGTACCCAAACTTCGTGTTGGGGAACGATCTTTCCGGCAACATCATCGATCCTTCGCTTGCCAGGCGAATGGACTGGCACCGCGTTGACATGTACCAATGGGCGGTGTTCGCTGCGATGACCGAAGACTACATCCAGCCTACTTCAGTCGTGAATGCCATTCCTACTCATGGCAACCCACATGGCTTCACGATTCTGGACACCTCTCATGCCCAATGGTTCTTGTCAGGATGGGTCCATGAGGTCTACAACTACAGGACCAACCGCCGTGACCGCATCTACTGAGGTCATCTGATCGACGGCCCATTGTGCCGAGCTTGATCACCTCCCTAACGGGATGGTATTCTGAGACATTTAGATGCCGTCTGGTTAGTAGTGAAGTGAGATTTAAGCGTCGGCACCGCCCTAACGGGTTGGTAGCTAACCTTCTCGTACAAACAGCACAGGGCGCAAAACATCGGCCGCATAATTTGCTTTTGTTGCAAGTTGTTTTCGCTGTCACAAAGTGATATGCTCACGACGGTCTAGTGACTAGTCTTTCCTTCCATCGCCTTCGCCTCAACCGTTGCACTAAGATGCGCGGGGGGTGTATTTTGTGGAAGATGTAGCTAGTCACCTGCACCTACTGTCGTTCATTGGCTCAAGAAAATATGCGTCTGCATTCAGGCTGTTCTGCCTGTAAACATACACAATTGAAAAGGTTAGCCTTTTGTTCCGTCTAGGGTATTCAGACCTTAAATCTCCTTGCTAGATGGGAGTTTCCGAAAATCGGGGACCCCAATATAGGGATCCTAACCATAAGGACCCCAAAATAAGGCACCCCGTATTTTCGGACACGCCCAGATCTGCCAGGGCTGGGCAAGGACTTCGATGCCTCCAAACTGCCTCTCTGAAGACCAGGGTCGATTCAGAGCTCTCACCTTTATGAATATTATTGTAATTAGTATCATTGTTTCTATGCAAGCTTTTAACTGTTTTTACCAGTACTCTTACTATTCCTCTGTGACAAATACATACTATTACAATTAGTGTTGTTCTTGCCATTACCATTGCTGCTGCTACTACTACTACTACTACTACTACCACTACTACTACTACTACTACTACTACTACTACTACTACTACTACGACTACTACTACTACTACTACTACTACTACTACTACTACTACTACTGCTGCTGCTGCTGCTACTACTACTACTACTACCACTACCACTACCACTACCACTACCACTACCACTACCACTACCACTACCACTACCACTCGAGTTATTACTATTGTTTTGTTGTTATTACTTTTCAGATTGAAATGGTTGAAAGTCTTATAAGCCTTAGCATCAGCTTCGGTACCATGTGAGTTCAGAGTTTTCATAAGCCCCTAATAAACGCCAAGCCCCAAAGCTCTGCCGGTGATGACGTCCATCATGTTTGTGCAAACTGGCCGCTGGTCTGAGGAATACCGCGAATGAAAGACCAGAATCCCGCCGATTAGGGTTTAGGGCTGAGGGTCGGCAAGCTTGGAACTCGACTCCGGTCCTTGAGATTTCACTCGGAGACAGTTCTTCTCCAGATGGTCGACCATTGATTGAAATGCGCTGGCAAAAAATGGCATGACTTTCCATGGAATACATTGCTGCTGCCCACGAGTGCCTGGAGCAGTTCTCGGATTGCGCTTAATTAAAGTCAGAAAGAGCCTCCTTCACCCGACTCAAGCAAAAGCCTTGTTCCGACTTAGCGAACTGGTTCCCCTGCATCGCATTCGATCTCCGCCTGCCGGCCCAAGCAACCCCTCGCTGCAGGGGTGTACATGCTGTTTCATGTGGTCTTGTTCAACTAGCTTTGGACACTTCTACGCAGGTCATCCGGCTAGGCTGTATAAGTCGGCTAAGCAGCTGCACGTGAGTTTCTTGCAAGTCGACGCTTCGAGCTTTTCGATTCAGGATAGGATATTCCATCGGACTGCCCAGCCATGAATCGGATGTTGCCAAACCCATGGCACAAGGAGGCCTGCAGTCCTGCGGTAATTAATGCGGTCATCCCAGAGCCGGTATGTGACGTTTTGAGCACACCATGACGCACAGAGACAGAGAGAGAGAGAGAAAGAGAGAGAGAGGGAGAGAGAGGGAGAGAGAGAGAGAGAGAGAGAGTGGGGGAGCGCGCTGTCGAGGGCGACAACCCTCCACCATAGCCCTGGCATAAGAACAGAGAGCGAGACAGAGAGAGAGAGAGAGAGCGAGGATACATACAAAATGTATTCACATGTATGTGTGTTATATGCTTTGTTGTTTGGCGTTCGGTCTATCTGTTGGCCAATGATGAATCTACATCTGCAAGTACAGGTGTCTTGGTCAAAGTCCCGGGTTGCAGCGTTTAGGCTTGTGGGTCTTAGAGTTTCTTGGTGTTGATCTCGGGTGCAATTTCTCACGAGTTTCGGTTTCAGCACCCAGTGGGTGTGAGGTGTGCGTCTGGTTCAAAAGTTCAGTGTTTTGTTGCTACAGGCCTTGCTTTTCAGACCTTGGAAGTGGCGGTCCTGATTTTTTTTCTGCAAACCAGCGCAATCTGTGCAGGCCGAAGTGAGCGAAAAGTCTGCGCTGGAGAAGAGGCCGGGTTCTGGTATGTTCTGGTCTGGAGGAGTCAGGATCAACCTGTAAAGTGTCGGCTATCGATCTGGTAAAGAGGGATGTCGTATGATTCTGGACTGTGACGTTTGATGCGTGCTTCTTTCCAGAAGCCTAGCCTTGGGGCAGAAAGCTCAAGAAGAGGTCCAACTTCCTCAGGCCACCTTGTCCACCTTGTGCTCTGCCAGGTTTACCTTACTTTTCTTATCCGTCGTTTTTCAAGTGAAGACTTCAGTCAACTCCATGCGTTCGGTCTCCGTCTTCCCTTCAGAGGCTTCAACCCGAGCAGTCGGCAGACCAAAAACCCCTCAACCCCTAGACGCACTTACGCCCTACACTTGGTATCTGAAAGCCCTGAAACTATTGCAATCTGGTTCTTGTTCCTGAGACCTTGCGGACCTTGAGGCTTCTCAATGCCCTGAAAATCGAGCTGCGGAGCTGCCCCAAAGCCCAAACATGAACCCCCATCTCAAAACACAAGTCTTGCACCTGAAATGCACAACACCTTTTTGGTTCAAGGAAATTTGGAACCACCAGCAGCTTTTGAGAGATCTCATCAGCCTGTTCTTTGCCATGGCTCGTGCTCTTGTGCTCAGCTTGGTGCTGGCATTGGCTTCGGCAGAGTCCGTGAAGGATTGCATCCAAAGCAAGTGCCGTGGGTGCGGTGGAGAGCAATGTCAGCTTTGCCGCGAAGACGTAAACACCGTGTCTGCTTGCGTGTCATCCTGCATGGACAACCTTTGCCGTGGCTGTGGTGGCGAGCAGTGTCAGCTGTGCCGTCAAGATGCCAGCCACATCGAGACCTGCTGCTCCCAGCAGGGACTGGAATCGGTTACTTCGCAGATCGACACATGCAAGGCCCAGCCCACAACTCCTTGCGCGGGCTTGTACGGGGCTGAAAGCCTCCAATGCGCCTGGGAAGAGGATGTGAAGAGCTGCCTGGAGACCAGCTGCCGCGGTTGTGGGGGTGAGCAATGCCAACTGTGCCGCGAAGACGCGCAGATCATCGACGCCTGCTGCCAGGATCATTGGCACTCGGTGGATCCGCCGCAGATGTGCAAGGATGCCAAGGAAGACCTGGAACCCAAGAATCCTTGCGATGGCTTGTACGGCGCCGAGAGCCTCCAATGCGCCTGGGAGCAAGATGCCAAAAGCTGCGTGGCCGCCGCCTGCCAGGGTTGCAGTGGCGAGCAGTGCCAGCTGTGCAACCAAGATGTTCAGAAGATTGCCAGCTGCTGTGACGAGCACTACCACTCCGTTGATCCGCCGCAGATGTGCAAAGACTCCAAGGAGGAAGCTGTTACCAACTGCTTTGACAGCAAGTGCCGCGGCTGTGGTGGTGAGCAGTGCCAACTATGCCGTGAAGATGCCAAGAGCGAGTGCTGCACTGGGTCCATGCGAACTCCTTCCTGCGAGTCCTCCAAGGCCATCCTTCCATAAGCGAAGAAGTGTACTATAGGGGCCTTAATAAGTATATACCTGTATGATTTTGGGGTTCCTTATTATATTTACATTATTTATTATGGGCCCCAAAACCTTATTCTAATTATTAAGGCCCCTAGAGTACCGGTTTATGGCCCGTGCCACCTGGAAGCTTGCAGGTATTATGCTTAGACCCCTAGACCGATTTTGAGCCCATCCTAGTTGGGGACAGAAGATCCTCATATTAGGCTTTAGACCTAGATTGACTTAGATCCAGCAAATTAGGCTTTTCGGACCTGTCTGCATGAGGTTCCATTCCCAGCTGGACAGGATGCAACATCTTCACTCCCAGATGCGTCTGGGTGGAAAAAGTCACTGAATGGTACGGAGGAAGAGCGGTCGGCATGGGATGAATGTAGCTGGCACGTGGACGTATTGTGTAGGCTCGACCTCCCCAATCTTGGGTCCGGAATTCCTTCTTCAAACTAGCTGAATGCAGACTTGCAAGATTCTGCGGGGCTAGCACGATGTGGCCAGCTTGTGGATGAGACTTGTGAGGAGCCTTGTCCGCCGTATGCGAGACTGAGAGACGAAACTCTAAAGCCCCATTAGCCTCAAACCCCACTGCTCCGAAACCCGCGGCAGGCGAATGGTCATCGACACCGAGGATGGATGTTACATCCCTGTCTTTGCCTCAGGTTCCCTAAACCCTAAACTTTACTTTGCTTTGTTTGCTCTAGCTTGATGTCTGTCTGCTGGTCGCTGCTAAATGAGATCCGTTGGACTATGTGGAGCCTTGCCTGCCTTGTGCGAGTGTGAGCGTCGAAACCCTAAACCCTGAGGCCTCGAGCTGCAGGCATTTTTTGAGGCCCCTAAGCCCTGAAGGCTCTTGAGGATGGCGCCCTTAAGCCGGAACCCTCGTAAGCTGGGGTTGGGGGAGATGAGGAGTCGAAGTATGAGCGGTTGGGACAGAAACTTGCGGCTTTGAGGATGTAGGCGTGGAGAGCGGAGGGTTCGCGTGAAAACTGTTGTTTTAATGTCCAGGGTTCAGGTATGGGAGCCCCCTGCCAGGGTTCAAGAAGTCCGAAGAAGGGTCTCATTTATGGTCGATTGACTTTCCTTCAATGCGGATGTCATGAAGCGATTGCAACAAACAGAGCAAGCCACTGAAAGAGTATGTGGGACGCCATGAACTTTGGAGGAAAGGTTCGTGCCTGGGATGAATAGGGGTGAAGCCTCTGGGGCTTTCTGCTTTTAGTGGGCAGCAAGCTCCTGAGGCCACGATCTCTTAATCTTTGGCCGTGGTTTGCCAAAGAAGACTATAGTGTTGCCTTCCAGACTCTGAAGCGAACGCCCTCAACATGCTGCACTCGAAAGCCGAAAGCCACCCAGCTCGCGTTCCCCAGCGCAGTCAGACTTCGCCGGCTCCCCCGACCTGACTTGGTCACAGACCCGCAGGATACTATAGTAGTACTAATATTTCAACATAATACTAATACTAATGCGAATACTATCGGCTATCGATCTACAGGCCTGAGACATTCCTCCACCACAAGCCCAAGCAGACCCAAATTGCCTAGATCCAGACGCCCGACAACAAGAACTTCAGGTCGTTCTTGGGACTTCGCAGGGTGGTTGAGGGTGGTAGAAAGGTTTGACGGATGTAACGCTGTTTTGGCTTTCATCGAAATGCTACAGATTTCTTGCAGGGCTGGATAGGATCTCCGAGGCTGCAAAACATGTCAGGCTGTTGCAGGGGCCCGTGATTATTCATGCGTCTTCATGGCAGGGGCGCATCGAGTTTTTGGTGTCGTCCGATTCTTCGTGAGGGTCTTGTAGCCTTCGATCCTGAGTGTTCAACTTCCTTGCTCCAGCGGGAAGAGCCGAACGGTTTTTTTCAAAGCCCAGTTATAGAGTTTGTAGATCCTAAACCCTAAACTGATCAAGACTGCCGGCATTGTCAAGTGAGTTGTTGTAGCGCACGCTCTAACCTGAGCAAGCTTTTGACTCTGCAGCTGTGGAGAAAGGGGCTATTGCACTTTAAAAAAAAGACTCAGAAGTTATAGAGTTTATAGACCCTAAACACTAATCCTTAAACTCTATAAACCCAATACCCCAAACCCTAAACTCAGAACAGGGTCAGCAGGAGACACCTCCGAAGAGCCCAGGGCCTCGCCCGAAGTCCAAAGCACCCGAGCCCACCGCGTCGCAGCAGCGCTAAAAAAAAGCGAGGGTAAAACTATTCATGAGTATTATTAGTGCTTCTTCTTATTATTGTTATTAGTAATTCGTATTCGTTTTAGTATTACTATTAGAACTATAGAAATATGTTATTGTTTGTATTGGTATTATTATCATTGCTATTAATACAGTGGTAATATTATGTTTACTATTTTTGTTATTCTTGTGGTGATGATTATTCGTGTTATTATGGCGATTCTGGCGATTCTCATAACTACTCTTATTCGATAAAGCTCAGGTAGTTGCAAGCAGGAGTAGAAGGCCTGGGAATGCTGGTGAATAGTTTGAATGGCTAATAAATAGTTAGTTCCAGAGCAACCGCTACTCTAGAGGACTTATTCCCAGCTTTCGAAAGCCAGCATCATTTTCGCGGCTGCAGGCTTGTGCCCAAAGCTTCGCTGAAGCCAGATCAGTTCCCCAAAGCTGCAGACTCACGGACTTTTTGTAGTGTGAGATTCTGTTCGGGCCAGGGGTTCAGCAGGAGTCGAAGTGCAGAGCTGAGGTTTCGATCTGTTTCGGAAGTTTATTGAGAGCGGAAACCTTTTCGGTCAGAGGTTAGGGTTGGGCTGTACAAGTAGGGTTTCAGGTGGAGGGCTTCGAGTTCCAGGGCTTGGTCAAAAGTTTTGCTAATCACTGGCCTTGTTGGATCAACTGTCGGTTTCCTACTTAGAGGCCCCGGGGACTTAGTAAGTCAGTTATGAGTAGCCTTATAATTGGGGTAACTCCATTTCGGGTACTTAGAAACCCTACTTATAACCTACTTACTAAGTCCCCTAGGCGTCTAAGTAGTACTTCACCCAAGAAACCCAGAAGTAGTGGCTCCAGAGACGCGCACGAGTTGTTCCGAACGAGACATCGAAACCTAACAACCCGAAAAGGATGTCCTGACTCTTTGCGCCTGGATGTGCCGCCGAATGTCTACGGCTTTGGCCACACCGCTTTGTATATAGCCTAGGCTATGCATTCTAAGAGATGTGCGTAGCGTAAAACCCTCAGAACCCCTTCCTAGCCATACTGAGGCTAGCGGTAACAGCTTCAAGCCCGAAAAGACCTTTATGGCAGCTACACTAAGCTGACTAACCTGAAACACTGAAAACCTGTCCATGCGATTTCATATTATTGCCCTCACCATGAGACTCGTCGGCGCCGTAGTCGAAGCAGCAAAGGCTGTGGTCGAAGCTCTTCGTCGAGAAGGAGGCATCGGCTCTTCTGCTTCAGCAGCAGACGGAGTTTCAACTCTGAATTGCAGGTTCCTTTTGTTGCCTCCTATTCGGGCAACTATGATCCTACACATCATCAAGATTCCTTAGAGAGTTCGTAGAAGAGTCACCCGGTCAGAGGCCACAGTGAGGCTTCGTATGCAGCTTTCACAGGTGTTTCAGTGTAGACGAAGGAGGCTTGTACCAATTTGGGGGCAGTTCAGTGCCTGGGCTGCTGCTGTAAGTTGCACGTGACGTTAGATCACTGTTGCTGCAGCTGTGAGTTGAATCCACAGTAATCAGATTTTCTGATGGTCTGTATGGAACTATTAATGCTACGTGAGACGTGAGTTGTCTCCGCTTTGCCGACTTCAAGCAGACTCAATGCCCAAGCAAGTTCAGGGGGAAACCACAGGAGCCCATGACATAGTTCCCTCCGTGACAAGCTGCCAAAATCTGAACCAAAGGTTGGTTGCGACCGACGCGATAGGCTAGTCGCTGTAACCGTCTGCAGTCTTGCATCAGCAACACGCCTTCAGATGGCAACCACCTGCTGCTGTGAAGCTTGAGGCTCAAGCTTCAGAAATGCCGCTATAAGCCAGATAAGTTCCATCTTCCTCGTGCGCAGTCAGCATGTGCTATAGGGCTTGAACATAACTTCGACAGCGCAGCTCTTCACGACCGCCTTTCGAAGCTACGCTGTTGAACCACCGGGAGAGTGCAGGTAGGATTTCCGGCCTTGGGCATGTAAACCATGTAGGGTTGAGAATCCGGAAACAACTCCAACCGGTGCAAGACGTAAACCTGCGAAGCTAGGCAAGTACTGTAGGCCATGCGGCAGAATTGTAGATTTAGTCATCTCGGCGCCGAAGCCCGAATATGAGTTCTTGAAGCAAGAGTGGTTATCCAAATCCCATAAAAGCTGGTGTGTCGAGAAGATGGCCACTGAAGCCGCAAGCAAGCAAGCCCTCACTTCAACACACGGAAGCCCTCACTTCAACACTCAGATCTGAATCCCCAAAACTATATCCCCACGACGAAAGCCGCGGCCGCCCCCGCATGCTTCTCGCGCCTGCTTTGCCTTGTCGTCAAGTGGCAACACCGCCCCCGCTGAGGTGCCATGTCGTGGGTTTCGGAATGTTTTGGAGTGAAGGGAGTAGCACAGAGGCCGGAACAATCAATTAATTAGCAAGTCTTGCGGCCCTAATCTCAACACATGTTCAGTATATCGGTGTACATCGTTCTCCATGCACTGATTTTCAAAGCCCCCCCCCGATTACTTCTTGTTTCTGTTTCGGGACGGAGGGCTTCGGGCGTTTGCACGGATTGATTCTTGTGGTCGTGGGGTATGCAGTTCGGAATCTCCTTTTGGGGGTCGTGGCTTAAGCATACCGATTTGGTCATTGCTGTCCGGTTCAGGTTTATATAGGGCTCAGAAGCCTTCATCCTTAAACCGTAATGAAGCTGCAAATCTGGGGCGCTCGAGGCCGAACGCTGACCGGCTTCGGTGCGCAAAGGCCGGGCAGGGGTGTATATTATAGGATGTTGGGTGTCAGATGACAATGATCACCAAGTTTTAATGCTGAGACTTGCAGCCCATGGTACCTCGTCCCGAAGGGAGCACCTGAAGGTTCAGCTGCAGCCAGCCTGCAAAGTCGGCGCTGGCTTGTGGCCTCTTGGCGGCTGGAAGATATGCTCGTGTTGCAACATCGAATCCCCCGTCGCAAGACAAGAAGCACCTGGCTTGAATAGTGCTTGGGATTATCTCTACGTGCGTGGGTAGACTGGGGCCAAAGCAACCATAAGGACGCGATAGCCTTTCTGGGAGATACTGCGCACTATGTTGAAGTGCAAGATTTAGCTGGGCCCTTCCGACGCAACCCTGAAAGCCTCGAAAGCTGCATTACTTGTTCCCAGTTCCGGTGGCATGCGTGCAAAGCGGATGATTTTGAAGAGGTTACGGTTAGGTCAGTCGAAGCATAACCTTACGGCTCCTTAGATATATTGTCGCCGTTATCACTGTAATACAGTTTTCCCCAAAATGTAAATGTTGCCCCCAATATCCCAAGTTCATAAAGTATAGACCAAGCGCCTCAAAATAGTGTAGTGAACCTGCCCGACAACCATCGTCAAGGTTTTTCTCACATGCCTGGCCTCGACAGAGATTGACTCGAGCCTGCCAACAGCCTGGTTCCTGCTCCGTCCGCGTCCAGGCGAGGGCTTCGAGGGTTCCTTTAAACTTAGGGGTGCTTAGAAATATTTCTTAGTTTTTGGTTATTATAATCCCTAATTAAGAAACAGCTAAAATTCAATTTGTTGCTAGGGTTCTAAGTTCAGTATAGTAAAGGGATCTATAAGGGTTCCATAAAGGCTTTAGGGTTTAGAGTTCCCAGGAATTAGGGGTACCTTGTTCTGGGTCTTTTGATAAGGACCCTACTATTATAAGGGTCCCCTATTTTCGGAAACTCCCATGTGGGATTTTCTAGAAATCAAGGGTACCTGCTTGAAGGGGGCCGTATCGTTATGTAACACTTGGGGTCTTTGTTGGGATGTCAACATCGGACAGTCCCCTGCCGCACGGTGCACGACGATGGCGACAGCAGTTGTCGCTCTCGCCATGATCGTGCAGCGTCAACTAATTGCTGCTCTTGCTGATGCCGATGGAGAATATTATTTTTCCACGTTCAATGCCGTCGCCACTGCGAGCAGCACTACCACCGCTCCTGCTCCCGCCGCTGTGTCTGCCTATTCTACTGCTACTGCTGCGCCCCCTGCTACTGCTGCTGTTGATGTTCGATCGTTTTCGATTATAGATTCCTTTCTTTTCCGAGTTGACTTGTGCTCAGTGATGGCGGTCTGCACGACTCCATGCCAAAGCATGAGTTTGTTGTAGGGTACCTTACTTTGGGGTCCTTATAGTATGGATCCTACTCTTAATTAGTAAGGGTACTATGTTATTAGTTTCCCCTATTTTCGGAATCCCTCTTTTCAAACACTCCTGGAACTGGAAAGAAAGGTACTAGATTAGGGTCCCCTATTTTCGGAACCCCCCCCCCCCTTTCAAACACCTTTTGAACGGGAAAGCCTCACCTGATCCGCCAGGCTCCGAGACTCGAAACCCCAAGCGAGGAACAAGGGAAGCCGAACCCCGAAGACTCCAAGAAAGGGGCCTCAATAATCAAGCAAATACTATTTTGGGAGTTCCTTATAATAATTACATATGGTATAATGGGCTCAGAAACCCTATTCTAACAATTAAGCCCCCTATAAGACCTTGCTGCCAAAGGGCTCCTCATCTCTGCAAAATAAGCAAACACGGCCCGACACCTTTAGTAGATGCCCCTGACACTTACACAGGCCTCACAAAACTGCTGGAAGACCCTCGTAGCATAAGAAGCCGTTTGACATGTCGCCGTTCCCCATGACACTTGCGCCATACAAACGTATATCAGACATGATGAGGCTCTTGCCGAACCGATAAACATCCTTAGAAGACTCCCTGGGCCAACACCCGAAGCTCTCAATGCTCAAACCCCAAACAGCACAGACCTTAAGCCCTCAACCATGCTTGAGCCCGAAGGCCTCAACCACCCTTGAAACCCGAGTGTGAGTGTCCAAATACGTCGAACCCCTAAAGGGGCGGTCGAGAGGCGATCTGCGGATCTAGAAGCAGCCCTTAAACAAAAGAACCTAGACCCTAAACCCTGAACCCCAAAACCCTAAGCCCTAACCAACCCCTTGAGGCCGTCAGCACCGATCTCGAGTCGGAGTCCTCTCTGCTGGATGCTGCGCAGGAGGCCGTGGAAGAGGCAGCCGGCGCCGGGTCGTCTTTAGGGGGTTTAGGGTCTTCGAGCTTTATGAATTTAAGGTTCATAGGGTTTATGGTTCTTAGGGCTCCGATATAGAGGCCTGGCTAATTGCCTATGCTGCTCTGGGGGGTTCCTTCTTATGATTACAGCACAAAAACCCAAACCCTTTCCACTTATTAAGACCCTTATTTTAGGGCTGTGGGAGGGGTTACTCTTTCGAGTAAGGGTTTGATGTGCTCAAAATGCTCTTTCAGGTTGTGGGGTTTTAAGGCTTCGGATTTGAGGTCTTCGGGATGTTGCTTTGCGGGGTTGAGGTCTTTTAGAAAGTGTAATGGTTGCGGTTTGGGTTTTTGGCCCAGGCAAAGAAGGGCCTGCGGCATGAGGGTTTGTTGAGGGGTTCAGGGGATTTTGGAGTTTCCAGGGATGAGGATTATGAGGCCATAGAAAGAAGGATAAGTAGATGAATAGACACATGTAGACAGATGATGATAGATAGATCGACCGATTGATAGGTAGATGCTAGGTACGGCCCCCACTCAGTAATAGTTGAAAAAATATTCATAATATAGATATAGTAGGACCTTAATAGTAGCCCCATTATAGACTCTTACTGTATGGGGGCCGTACCTAAGGTAGATGGGAGTTCAGGGCGATTTGAGGTTCATACCTGAGCTCTGCTCGAGCTTCGGACTGAAAACCCTGATCTCGCGAAGACCTGGGCTGCACATCCTCGTCCAGACCAGCGCAAGATCTCTCTAACCTTACGGATCTAAGGACTCATACATTAAGGCTTTTGGGCCCAAAGACCATACTATATAAGGCTTTTGGCCTATTTTGGTCTTTGGCTTCCGAAGCAACATGAGAAAAGTTTGCTTCACAAATCTCAGCCCGTTACCTCCCACATGGCCCAAACATACCACCTCCTAGAATCGCACCAAGAGGTCCTCCAGTTTGCTCCTGAAGATACACGACTGATGGCCAACATCATCCGGGACTGAGCGCGGGAAGCATGTTTCAGCTGTAGGGCTCTAGGCCCTTGTCTTCTTGCCAAGATTTTTTTTTAAGTACAAGGAAATCGCAATGAAGAGCCCTGACAAGCGGGTTGGGGGGTTGGGGTTCAGATTTTCGGAATATGTTTGTGATAATCTAAGGCTTCGCGTGCCTGTAGAATTCTAAACCCGACGTCTCAGTCTTACTTGTAGTGGTATTGAAGACGGGTTGCTCGAGGGAGTGGGGTTCACTCGTAGTATCATACGTTTTGTTGTTGGGGTGTCGGTGAGTTTTGCAGTGCAGAACTGTCCTGAATGTCGCCCTCTACTGTTTGGTAAATCAACACTTAGCTAAGCAGGTACTACATGAAACTTGTTTCAGAATGCATAACCGTGCTTGGTCAGGGAGCACCGCAACTATGAGTTAAGGCATTAGCTAAGGAGAGGATCGAGTGTGTGTGTGTGTGTATATACTATATATGTATGTGTGTGTATGTGTATACTTATGTGTGTATATATATACACACATACATATTGTATATTTACTATACATGTATATATATATATATATATATATGTATACATACGCTATAGTATAGAAGAGAAGAGTACGGTATAGTCACTGTGTGACCAAATGTGGCCACCCCCTGAGCGTCGGCGTCTCGAGACAAGGCCCAAAGTAGCCAGGACCTGAGCTCCCAAAGCTTCCACTTCCGCGGAAGGCCCCCAAAAGCGGAAAACCCCTAAGCCCTAATGCTCAAGGGTTTTAGGGCTTAGAATACTCTAATCCTGACTGAGGCACTATACTTCCCAGCACCCTGAGCCCTAGACTCTTGGATTTCCGGACTGCGAAGGATTACATCCGTGCTGGCGACTATGATTGGGCCTCGGCCATGGAGAAGCGATGGCTATCGGATGGCGGAGCACAGCCGAGGAGGTTGGCGGAACGGTGCGGTTAGGATATTGGGTGCGCAACTTTCGGCTAGTGGAGAGGATTCCAGGAAGAGGTGGCGGTCATGTTGCGGTGAATCGAATCCTGCGTGCTCAAACAGGGGATGTTTCTCAGAAAGCTTGCGGATGCAGCTCCCGCAAATGATTGAGCCTCTCGCACTGGACAAGACTCGAGCTTCCTTGAGAGTCTGCAGCGTTTTCTTGCAACAAAAGCATCGACCCTTCTCTAGCTTCGACGCATGCACTGGGCACTTTCTAGCCGCCTTTTGTCGGCAGTTTTGGCGGAAGCCGTTTTTCAGCCAATACCACCTAAGCCCCAACACACCAAGACCTAAACCCCCCCAACAAGACCTTAAACCGCCGAGAAGAACCCTAAAAAAACCCAAAAGACCTTGAACCGCCGAGAAGAACCCTAACACGCCCCGCAGGGCAGAGATTCTGTTTCGGGAGCCTTCTCTTTGCTCCCAGCTCGCGGGCGCCTGGGCACGAGCGGGACGCCTCCAGGAGGCCATGAAGCGGGGGCTAGGGTCCTAGGAACCCATGGACTCCAAGAACCGTTAATTAAGGAATATACCTTAATTCCTAATATGATTTAGGCTATAATTATTCCTTAATTAATTAAGGGATATTGGAGTCTCTGGCTATTACAGGGGAGACCCTTAATTACACAAAACCCTTCTTAGCCCCATACTTCTGGCTCTCTTGACGGGGATCTCATATTGAGAATGTCTATAATCCCAAGGCTGCCCGAATCCTGGCTCCTAAAGGGGTCGGGCTGATTGTTTGACCTGCTCGCCTCCAGCCCGAGACACGGCAAGCGACTGTCTCTGCACTCATTACAGCCCTGACTGAATGAAACCCGTCAATCATGACTGCTGGCCGCAGATCCTTAAACCCGGAACTGCAAACCCCTGGACCCAACTCCATGCCCATTCGGTCTTCGGTTGCAGCTCCAGCAAGTTCAACCGGTTATGCTCATGGTTCATGTCGCTACCCTGGCAGCAGGCCGAAATGTGGCTGTCCTGCACGGAGATCGAGCAACTCGCCGGAAGGTTGAGAGGTGTCGGGCACAGAACCTCTTTCTGGGGTCGCCTGGGTCGAGGGCTTTGGGGCCTTCAGGTGGGAGGCCATCAGGGGTTTGTGTCGATCATGACAAGGACAAGGATCTGCAGACTCCAAGCACTCATTGGTTTCGGACTCGGAGCAGCATGAGACATAAACGATGAATAGAATAATCCATGCATTACCTTGAAGCCCTTTGATGCTTTCGCCTACAGCCGCTAAATCTGCGTAATGCCCCAAGCCTCAAGACTGTCTGATCTAAGTGTGTAGAAAAGCCTGACATCCGGATCTAGTCCCCAAACCCTAGGCCCTAAACCCTAAACCGTAGTAATCAGAGATCCAGTCGAAGTTGAAGTACCTAGCATTCAACTCAGTTTAAGCTAGTGTCCTGAAGAGACAGATTTTGAAGTCTCTGGGATCTGTCACAACGGCTCCGCCACGCAGTATTCAAACATGCAAGATCCGCGACCCCTAGACACTGCATGCTTGACGGAGTCAGTGTTCCCGGGGTCGGTTGAGACTTGCCGGCTTCAATTGTGTCATTTCTGAGATTGCTCTGGCGAATCCTTGGCCAGCGTTGCTGAGAGTGTGAGTTGCAACCGCAACCCCCGGTCAACAAAGAGAAAGTATTCACAATGTGCTGTCTGCATAACTCTTACTACCAACTGAAAATCCAGCCGCACATTAGCCCTGGATCAAGTACCCTAAACCCCAAACCCTAAACAAAAAAAACCTAAACCCTAAACCCTAGTAGGGGCCACCAGGAAAGTGGATCGCTGGGCCCTGGTCGCCTTTGTCCGTGCCTGCGTAGAGAGCGGCGAGCTCCAGACCGCCCCTGGGCCTTACTATTACTATTACTATTACTATTATTATTATTATTATTATTAGTATTAGTATTAGTATTAGTATTAGTATTAGTATTAGCATTAGTATTAGTATTAGTATTATTATTAGTATGATTATTATTATTGTTATTATTATTGTTATTACTATCTTCTTCTTCTTATTGTTATGTATTTTTGTTTGTATTTTTCAGTGTTTATTATTACTATTTCAAAAAAACAAGGGGGAAAGAAGCAACAGCCCGAAAACCCAAGACTCGAGACCCATAGAGGGTAGCTTTGGAGCTTCGGGTTGCGAAAGTGTTTGGGGTGTCCAGGGTGCTATAATCAAAACCCAAATCCCGCAAGTCTTTGAGGGCTGGCTTGCTCGAGTTGTGAGAGCGTAAGGTCTTTGAGTGCTGGGGATAATCACCTCGGGTTATGGGTTATCACCGTAGGACCATACCATCCTGAACTCAAAACCCTCCACAGCAAACTCTATCATGGGCTGCGAAATTTCCATGGCACCTCAAAAGTGCCCAGAGTGGACATTTGTACAAGTTCATATACGGGGCGGTTCCACGTTTCTTTTTTCAGACAGTGTGGCCGGAACATATTCAGGGTGAACAGCTGCGGTCCCCCAATCTTCTGATATCCGAGCATAAGTTTTCGCATAGAGTGTTCACGCTGCTGGGAGCTGAGTCCAGGCTTCGCCTATAATGCTTCAAGATATGATCGTGGGCAGGGTTTCGAGTGCAGAATCATAAACGGGACTGACCACAAAGCAGATTCGGTTTTCCCATCCCTATCTCACTGTTGAGGCCACTGGCCGCATAGGGGTCGCCTCTGCATGGAAAGCTGAACCATCGCTAAGGCAGACAACTGGACCATGAAGCTTCTGAAGATCGCGGACCGTGGCAAGCTGCACCTCGCCAGGCTAATAAGTTCAGATGGTTTAGGGTTCAGGGTTTAGGGTTTAAGGTTTGAAGGGTTTAAGGCAAGACTTCAAGAGGCCTGGATGCAAAAAAAGGGTTTAAGGGTAGTTGCAAAAAGGGTTTAAGGGTTCAGATGGTTCGGGGTTGAGGGACTGGCCGAGTTTTTACCTGAGCCTTCATGCTCCGGCCAAAAGAAACGATTTTTTGTGGCTGCCTTTCGAGCCACCTGCCATTGCAAGCTGGAGACCTTTTACAAAACCCTGAACTGCGTTCTTGCAGGATTTTGGAGCATCGCACTTGTCAAACACCGGGAATGCCGGGTAGATAGCGTGTGAAAACTCTAGAGCTGTCGGATAGACTGCTTTGGAGAGGTGTCGGGTTCCCAAAGGCCATTAGCTTGAGATCAGTCTCGCAGATAGCGACTACCTTTGAGCCGGCAGCTCTTCAGGTTTTAAAGGTTCGCGAGGGAGATGACTGATGTAGGGGCCTAAATAGCTAGAACAGGGCTTCGGGGCTTCCTTAATTTACAGTAACTACAGTAGAACATACCCCAAACCCTGTTCTAATTTTTCAGGCCCCTATACCTCACGAAGTGGTATGCCGGTTTGCGCTTATGATCCACCCAGGGTCTACGGTCCTCTGTAATTTGAGTTCATATGAGAAATCAAGGCGACAGAGCCAGTGCTAGAGCCCAGTGGAAGTCGAAAGTTGAACCATACTGTAGACCACTGCTTAATCCCACTTTTAGCCCCACTTAAAATGAGATTTAGATGCCTTAATACCGGGACCCAAAATGTAGATGCCTTCTTATTAGGATCCATGCTACAATCCCTAGGTCCGCTAGGATGCGCGTTGAGCATGGTGGTCCCCGGCCAGACTTTCTCACATCGGTTCGAACGTTTACGAAGCAGAGTATGGGGGCCAGGATCAGTAGTAGTCGTCCTCGTCATCGTGTCCCGTATCCCATATCCCTTTGGAGCCCTTCTGGTCCACACATCTTGCTGCAATGGACCCCCAAACTCCATTCTATTTTTTAATGCCCTCATATTAACTCATTATTCCTTCAAAGTCTTTCAGTCAAGCACTAAGCCCAAAGGCCTCGAAAGTAAGCAGAGTCGAAAGTAAGCAGAGAAGATGTAGCCGCTCCTCCTCCTTGCAGAGCCGGTGCCGTGGATTCGGCTTCTGCAAGCCGCCAGAAGGAGGCGGAGGTGGGAGTTCGGGCTTGTAAGAGAGACAGAGTGCGAGAGAGAGAGAGGGAGAGGGAGACAGAGAGGGAGAGAGAAGGAGATATTTTAGGTTATACAGAGGGTTTAACAAGCCTTCACAGTTGCGTCGGAACCCGTGGTGTTTTTGAGGGTTTGGGAGCAAGAGGTTGGCGTTTGGGGTTCGAAGTTGTCACTGCAATCTCTACGCGTGGGGCTTTGACTCAGGGTTCAGGATTCCAGGCTCGGTCTATGCTTTGAACTTCAGACACACGGTTCTTGGGGTAGTGAGTTTTCCTAGTCCTTTTGGTATCCTTGCTTCAGATGTAGAGCTACCTGTCAAAGGTTGTTGGGGCTACGGTTGACGATGTAAATCCTGCATTACCCATAATAAGGAGTATTACACCATAATTCCCATAGTTTAGGGTCCTTAAGGTAGTGAAGGATTTATATCATCAACAGTAGTTACCCACAGCCCTCAAGCCCTTCCCCCTGTGCTGTCTGGCATTTTCTTAGCTTGTTGCATGGGGATTTGGCTAAGATTGGCTTTCGCCTGCAGGTTGGATTCCGTGGGTTTCATAATTGGTATTTTTTCGTGTTTTCATCCTTTCTGTGTTTGTTTGTTGGTTTATTTGGGTTGCCCGGCGGTCGGGCTTCTGCTGATTGAGGGCAACAGTGGAGACCTGCAACATAAGATCACGGGTCACAAATGAGATGTGTGCCTAGCTGGTATGCACAATGTGTATGTGTATACGCACACTGCAGCTTAAGGCGCACGAGGTTTTCAGCTCAAAGGCCCTCGCGCCAAAAGGCCCTAGACGCAAGCAGGCCCAAATCCTGAAGCTGCTCTTAATAAGTCTTTGGTTAAACCTCTAGATCTTCAACGGTTGAGCCGCGAGCCCCCGAAACCCAAAACCCAACACCCCAAAGCCTAAAAACCCCATTCTAGAACCCTGTAGTACCCTTAAAACGGAACCCTGAACCCAAGCCTTTTTGAACCCGAAAGGACAACCTCCTGGCCTCGGTCGCCGCCCGGGCGACCTTGGCCAAAGGGGCCGAGATTGAAGGCTATGCAACCCCAACTAGGTACATTGGACCCTATGGGCTAAAACCCTAAACCCTGAACCCTAAACCAAAGTAGAGGTTGCAACAACACGTTTCTACAAGAGAGAATCCCTCGAAGCACTTTTCAGAACGACTCTGCACCTATGAACCTCGCCTGGCTGTGTCCGAGTTGTGAGAGCGTAACAATCCACTTCTTTTTCCAAACTTATATAAAGAAGTCATATTAAGGAGCCAAACAAAGGTATGTTGTTTGTGGATTTGGGTCCAGGTGGGGTTGAGGGTGGAGGATTCCGGGTTCAAATTTAGGGTTCGTGTGTCCGGGACATTCGGAGATATTAGGGTTTGGGTTTGTGCGTCCAGGATATTCTTATCTTTTGAGGGTCATGCGAGGGCTTTGGCATAAGACCCTTGTGAACTCTACCGTCGAAGCCGCGCGTTTTGAAACTGCGATTGTAGGGTTAGGGCTTGGAGTTTAGGTTCTCGCAATCGCTTCGGGTTGGTTGGTTGTTGCCCTGCCGTCTGGGCGCCCAAAGTTAGCGGTTGCAGCTTTGGGGGTTTGGCAAGTTGCAATGGATTGTATCGCGGGATGTTGTCACCCTTAGGAAGCTTGAAACTGCCAGCTTCTGTTCTCAAGCGTTTCTAAGTACGGCCGTGGCTATTCTGATAGCTCATGCTCTGTTACTGCAAGCAGCATCAGCTTCGCCGCTATGCTGGTATTGGGCCTCCCCGGTGTCTTTTCAGCTCGTGGTGCCCATGATTCATTGCTGCCAGAGTCCGCTTTTCGTGTCCACATCCTTGCTGCAGCTGCAGCTGCTGATGCAAGTATTGCTTTTTGACAGTGCTGTAGTAATCCATGCACTAATGCTCACTGCTGCCGAGCCGTCTGCCTGTGAATCCCTCATTTAGGGCTAAATCTGCAACTCCAGCTGTGGGCACGTTGCTCCGACATGTTGTGTGTTGTGTTGAACCCTTGTTGATTTGAGTGCCCTGCGCTCGGTTTTGCTTATGGGCGAAAAATCTTCCATGACGGTTGTGCTTTGCTTCTGGACCCTGAGGCCTCATCCAAAAAACTACCAGAGCGAAAGCCTACGCGTGCCAAACGCGCGCAAGCCCAGAACCGAGTCTGTCTTCGTTTTGTCTCGTCTTCGAAGAGAGGCGTTCGCCGATGGCTCCATCGCATGCAAAGAGTCGCTGTGGCAGCCATCGAGGGTTTCTATATGGGGGGTCTTTCAGGGTTATATCCAAAGGTCCACGGGTTCTACAATAAACCCTAAACCCGTAAACCCCTAAACCCTGAACCCCTAAACCCTAAACCCCTAAACCCTATAAACCGCCGAGCCTTTGCGGACCCAGAAAAGGCCGCAAAAAGAGGTGCTCGCCGAGCCCGCGTGCGCGCAGCCAGGCGTGCGCAGACAGCCGGAGCTGCCGAGGTTGAGGAATCCGACTCGTCGGTTATCTCAACCGAGGCGTTCGTCCCAGGCGTCCAGGTTCTCGCCTTGGGGGTTACCAAGGTGGCAGGGGTTCCCGGCACGGTCGTAGCCACCGTGCTGGGACATGTGCAGGTAATATTCGATAACGAGGACAAGTTTTCGTTTCTGCCTGCGAAGCTCCAGAAAAGAAAGCCTTGCTCTACCGACCGACCGTGTGCCCTTGCCCAACTTGCTCCCAGCCACCACATCTATCACTGCCTTTGCGGCGTGGACAAACATTCCCTTGCCTGGATAAAGGAGGCTGTACTCCTGTGTCGCTTTTCCTGCAACCCCGTATTTGCATCAGTTTTGCTGGCGCTGATATATGGCTACAGGAGGCTACCCCTATGAGTGGTGCTGCTCTTACGGTTCTGGACTGTGTAACTTCATGCGAGTCCTAGTCTCCTGGGTGATGCTACTCCTCCTACGGCACTGGGCTCTGCTGCACAGAACTGCCATACACCCGAAATCTTGGGCAATGTGATGTCTTTGTTGCCGGGGATGTGGCCCTGGTCAGTTGTTGCAAGCACATGGCGCCAACAGTGGGAATGACACATGGGCGACTTCTGAGGGCTGCTCTGAGTGATTGAGTGAGTTAACCGAGGCCCAGACAGATGCGAACTCTAGCTCTCCAGCTCCCATTATTCTCGCTTAAGGCGTTGCAAGACGATAACCCCCAACGTCAGACCTCGCGAGCGGGCATAGACTCCTTAGCAATGCGAGAGGGAAGAAAAATCCTAAACCCCTAAACCCTAACCCCCTAAACCCTAACCCCCCCCTAACCCTAATCCCTTGAACCCTAAGGCCTTATAAACCCTAAGCCCTAAGGGTTTAGTGTAGCAGCTCTCAAAGGCCCCGAGTTTGGCTCTTCGGGATGAGACCTTTCGGGCCGAGGGCTGCGACTTGCAGCACTTGTTGTCTCTTATTTCGGGGCCTTTAAAGGGATCCTTGAGGGTTCCTTGAAGGGATCTATAGGGGATCTTTAGGGTTTAGGATACACTATGGCCTAGATAATTGCCCATACTATTTTGGGGGTTTCCTTATTAAAATTCCTGTGTAAGGGGCCCCAAAACCGAATTTTAATGATTCAGGCCCCTATATTATGGCGATTTTGACGTATGTCGAGCGCCAACCTTGCATAGCCCAAATGGCTTCGGATTTTGGCGTTTTGACAGCTTCTACTTGCTTTGTGCACAGATGCTTCTGTCTTCAAGTATGCTCAGCATACTCATCGGCATCACGAGCATGGACCGCAACTGTTACCAGCAAGTAGGAGCAGGAATCTCAATGACAAGCACGCTAGCAAAGTGCTCTTCGTAGGGGTTCCTTGCTGTAGCTATAGATGTAGCTATAGAATTCGAGGGCTCAGTAATGTAGTCTCATAGCTACGGGCCCCCCCTTCTTAACTTGTGATCGAGGTGCTTTTAAGGGCAGAAAGCAGCACCCGAGACAAAAACGGTGTAGCACTACTTACGTTTGGTTAGTAGGGAATGGAAGAATGGTAGTATAGTAGTTATAATTATACCTCGTTTCCCCATTCGCTACTAACCAACGGTAAGACTTAAGGCAGGCATCCAGCCCAGCTGGCCGGTCTATGACCGTCTTCTCCAGGGATATGCAGAGGTGGGCAACAGGGAGTTTCCGGAAATTAGGGGTACCTTGGGGTCCTTGTAATGAGGATCCTACTATTTACGGTATCAGGCAAATAGGACTAACTAGGTAGGGCTTTGGGACATTTTATATGTGCTCTTATTGGGCTTAAGAGGAACTTGCCTTCTAATATTTTCCAAAGGCTTTAAAAGCACCTCCTAGCTAAAGAATGGCCTTCATAAGCAGGCTATATTCTCCGATACCATACGGCGTCCTTAGAACTTAGCCTTCTTGTACCAGTTGAAGTTCTTAAGCTTTCATGTGGTTACGGATAATGCAGGAAGTGATCTAGCCTTGAGGCAGAGAGATCTGTCAGATTCACTGGGCCGAAGTTGCACGTCGTTTCAACGAAACCAAAGACTCCATGCAGCAGACGCATAGCGCTGGTCCGAAAAGACTAGCCGACCCAGCCTAACATGATGCCGAAGCAAGTTTCTTCGTTTCGATGGGTGCCCTGGTAAAGGGGACCGTGTTTCACCGGACTCCATCAGGAAGCCTCCTATAAACCCTACCACCGTAATGTCCCCTCATAGTCCTTGCACAGTTAAGGTGTAAGGCATCCAAAAAAGCCTACTTTCATGAGTAAGTATCCTGCACAATTATGGTGTAATGCATCCCAACATTCATTAGGAACCCCAACACTCCTGAATAAGGCCAAGAGTGCATGATCAGGCCGACAAGTCAAAGGACTTCGAGGAGCTTTTGAAAGAGATGCAAGCGGCCCGAGTCAGGCAGAGAAGACCCCTTGCTCCTGCAGGTTTCGGATTTTACGGCTTCGGTTTTGGGGTTTAGGGTTTGGGCTCAAGTTAAGGATTTCGAGTTCAGCTTTGGGGGATGTCAGGCTTAAGGCACCGGGAAGCCACCTGGGCACGTTCAACTGCTCAGCCGCTCATGACGATGCGTAGTCGCCCAGCACTCTTCGTGCAGTAATGTCGAGAAGTGTTGGTACTGCAAAGCAGCCCGGAGTGCTGGCATGCCTCCCATTTCCTGCAGCTCGAACAGGAGCTTAGGTTTGAGGGCCTTAGCGTTACGGAGACGATCACCTCAGACCCCAGCCAGCAACACAACCACTCACTAGCGGACGGCACTTGCCCAAATCCCTGTACCACCCGGAATACTTGATGTTGCTCCGGACCTGGAACTGTATCCACTGGCCGAACCTCAGACCAAACTGAACCCCTAAGCCTGGATCTTCAACGAAGTACCTAGACACATCGATGCTCAACTTTCCTACAGTTATACACTCAGATCTCAGACAAAGTCTCAAAAGATATTCCCGAAACCCTAAACCGGAAACCCTTATCTGAAGGCCGAAAGCCGAAGCATTCAACCACCTGATCAAAGCGAAGGCCGCCGGGCGGCAGGCTAGGGCTTAAAGGGTCAGGGGTTCAGGGTTTAGGGCAAAAGGGTAGATTACACACGTAGGGTTTAGAGTTTAGGGGTGTAGGGTAGACAAAAACCTTCAGGGTTTAGGGTCGGGTGGATAGCCCTCAGGGTTTAGAGTTTAGGGGTGTAGGGTAGATAAAAGCCCTCAGGGTTTAAGGTTTTGGTGCGGGAGTTGAAACCCTAGACCCCTGATGGTCCGATAAGCCCAACATGCCCTCCACTCCCAGCTCCGAAGTCCGTGGCAGCCTAAAGTAGGAACCTGATTAAGAAACCTTGGGCCTGTATAAGGGCTCCTTATATGAATCCTACGATTTTGGGGTTATAGGCCCAGGGTTTCTTAATCATGTTCCTACATCACGGCTGCGGAACGAGGAAGGTTCAGGTTTGGGAGATGGATGCTCTCGGTCCAAACTATGGGAAGTCTTTTGCCGAATCGGAGGCTCCTAACAAGAGAGCACCACTTACAGTAGTAGGGCTTATGTTATCCCACCATGGTTGGAAAGATTAGCTTTTTTGGGGCTAGGGAACTCAGCCCCTAAGAAGACGTTTATTGGAGAAAGGTTGCAGACCGACACACGTGGTTTTGGGTTCCGGGTCCGCTTTAGACGTTCTGCGATTTAGGCCCTGTCGGTGGCTCTCGGCGTGTCCCGGTCAGGCACTTCCTACTCCCCACTTAAAGGTTTGAGGGTTAAGCTTACCCATAGGCCCCAAAGTAGTTCCTTTTGGGGATTACCTAATAGGATTCCATATACGAACCCCAAAAAGGAACTACTTTGGGGCCTTTGGGTAAAGCTTAAAGCACCAAGGTGGATCGTCACAGTATGGATGCTGCAGCTGATTGGATGCAGCGGATGGTCGAGTTCAGGCAGGCGTCATCTCGGCTTTCTGGAGCAGAGCTAGGTAGGGCTTTGGGACATGTTATATTTTCCCTTATTGGGCTTGAGAGGATCTCATTTCCTAATATTTTTCAAAGGCTTTAACAGCCCCACCTAGAGAGAGCCTGAGCCCGTTCAGATTTCGGGGAGATCACCTTGTGGCAGGCACTGGACAAACAAACATGTAACTGGTCGAAAGAAATGTGATCGCTGTATGACAATGGGGGTACCTTATTTTGGGGTCCTTCTCATCAGGATCCCACTATTTAGGGTAGTATTTTAGGGTTCCCTATTTTTGGAAACTCCCCAGATCGATGGTAGCGTTGGATCTCTTTTGGGAGACGTGGGCTTCCGGGGGTCAGGTTTCACGCTACCGAGGCCACAAAGTAGTTCCTTTTGGGGGCTCATATTTAGTATTCCCTTAGGTAATCCCAAAAGGAACTACTATGGGGCCTATGGGTAAAAATGAATGGCGGTTGAACTCGCCAACAAAAAGACAAACCAACATGGGACATGTGTCGTGCTGGCTTCGAATGATGTTGGTATGGCTTGCTAGCTGGACTGCGGCGGGAATCATGCAGATTCATGTGAATGCCAGGTTTCAATCGGTGTGGACGCTACTGGTAACAACCCACCGGGCACATCCCATTTTTCACCGCAGTGCCACACATCGCCAAAAGCACTAAATCTTCCACCCCCAACCACTTTCCCCACGCGCCCCAACACCACAGGTTCGAACCTAATCTCGAACCAGACATTGAGGTTTCAGGTTTCTTAAAGTCACTGCCGCCGATAGATCGAATCCCAGAAGGTCGACACCGAATGCAGCGACCTACCGTATGCTTATCACCTCGAGCGCCGTGTCGCCGCTCGGACGGCCAAACAGATGCACATATAACTACACTTGTATGTATATATATATATATATACATACACACTCATAGAGAGAGAGAGAGATGTCTATATCCATTTTCCATACACATATACACATTTGCATAGAGTTCACAAACATGGATGTGGTTATGTTTATGTGTAAGTACATGTTTGATGCGTATGCTTATGTATATGATAGTATATGTATGTGCTTTTGGAACTATATGTGTATTCCATGTTGTAGGCAGAACCCCTTGATAGTCACTATATACTGATATTTTAGTGGACAGCACAAAGACGGCGGGAATTTGGGTAATGTTATCTCTTGTTTCACAGTTTCTAGTAAAGTTATACTGTATTGTTACGCATGAAAGCCCAATGTAAATGTTAAGCCCGCTATACAATCCATACTTACATGATTCGTAGGAGTCTGGGCATGGGCAGTTCTGAGCTTCCAGTAGTCCAGGGTTAGCGAGGCTTTTGTTGTAGGATGAAGTGGTGGAGGTATATAGGAGTTTCCGACAAAGAGGGGTACCTCAGTATTGAGGTCCCTGTAATAAGGATCCTACTATTTAGGGTGCTAGATTAGGGTCCCCTACTTTCGGAAACTCCCATATGATGCGCAGGTTCTGGCACGGTTAGACATTCCCCCCGTGGCAAGAACGGCGAGGTTGACTTTCGAGCCTGACCAGGATGAAGGAACCAGAGAGCCCAATACCCCTTAATTAGGGAATATAGCTTAAGTCATAATATGAATACCCTTATAATTTAAGGTAGATTTCTTGATTAAGGGGTATTGGGCTCTCTGGGGAACCAACAGTAGCAGCGACCACAACCAAAGCGGGAACCGAGGCCACAAACCCCAAGCCCTAAACCGTTAACGAAAAAGCTCTTAAATGCATGGAGGCCACCAGTGTCCTTAGTATGGGCTTTTCGAAAGCACTCCCATAACCGGGATCCTGTCACGAATCCTAAGCCACACCCTCAACCACAAACCCTGGGCCTAAACTTTAGCACTTGATGAACAAGCCAAAAGCCCCAATCTTTTTCAGGAGTAGCGCCAGCGAAGCAGAAGGCTGGCTCGTGGCGATGCCGCTGGGGCTTTGTTTCAGACTGCCGAGTCTGTTGTTTTGAGCCAAGCATAGTTTAGGATTACGGCTCCTGCTCAAAACAAGGGTTTAGGTTCTCGTGCCTGTGAGAGGGTTTAGGCTTGCTTGTTTTCGGGTTGGGGCTTAGGATATAGTATGTCATTGTCTGTCACAGTAAGAGTCGAGAGGACAAGGCCACAAAGACACCAAACAATTGTCAATGGCCCCTTGTAGCGTTGAATGCAGTTTTCAGGAACTTTGCTGGTGCTTTGGGTTTGGAGCGTCGGGACAAGTGTTGGTATCTAGCTTTTCGATTGGGAGCAGGGTGTTGTTGTTTGCTTCGTAGCAGGCGGGGCGGATTGTTGTGGCCTTAGGAGCCATTCCTCGTCGACTCTGATCTCTTCAATAACCAGCCAGCCAGACGGAGGGGCTCTTGTGCAACAAGCTTGACTTGTTGTTTTTTCAGATAGTTTGAATAGGGTTGTGGGCACCATTATACTATACTTATTATAAGGAACCCCCAATAGGGTTTTGGGCCCCAATTCTACTGTAATTCCCAAAACCGTAGTTGTTGATCCGGTTGGGATGCCATGCGGTGTCAGGTAATGGAAGGTCTTGGGCCGACTCGGGCTCGGAGTGCTATGTTATACCATTATGGTATTATAGTATCATAGTATTATGGTATTATAGTAACATCGTATTATGGTATTCTAGTATTATGGTATTATAGTATTATAGTATTGTGGTATGATAGTATTATAGTAGGCTTAGGGCGTCAGGCTTTGGGGCTGTGCAAACTCAAAGCAAGGGTTGCCTTCTGGGGGGGAAATCTCATAACTTCCATACCATAAGGGTTTAGGGTTTCATAACCCAAGAACACCGTCGATTGAAGATTCCTCCAATAGCATGCCGAACTCCCGCTTACATGGTGGGTCCAGGTATCAGTCTCGCCTGCACGTTCCCGAAAGCTGTGCCCGAAACTGAGAGCCATGCCAACAGGGGGTCTGTTAAAGTTTTCTGTGTTCCTCTCACTGCCCAGGATCTCCTGCTCCTGCTACTACTACTACTGCTACCTCTGCTCCAACTGCTGCTGCTACTGCTACTCCTACCGCTACTGCTACTGCTACTGCTGCTACTTCGGCTTCTGCTCACGGCGACTGCTAACTGCTACTTCTAGATGACTTGTCAGCGCTTTAAAATATGTACGACAGCTACACTGAGAATGTCCGGGAGCTTCCGTGTCTCAGGGGTTCAGGAACTCAGGATGGTGTTCGAAAGGGTCTGAATACAGGGCCCTGTTGGAACGTGGAGGCCCACGTTAGTTTGGCAAGCATGTGAGTCCGAGAGAGACAAAGAGGTTTTTGGGCGTGGGGTTTAGGTCAAGTTTAGGGCTTGATAAAATTCAAGCCGTTTTCGTGTTTAGCATCAAGAGGAGCGGCTGACCTTCAGCACGCAAGCTCTTGAGCACGCAAGCTTTTGGTAATGTGCTGGATCAGTGCATCTGATTCTCACTTACACCTCGCTTGAGAGGATGTGTGCCATGTTTGTTTTTGACACCTGCTCGATGTTTCGGTCGCATGTTTGCATAGTGTACAGTCTCCTCATGTGGTCGCTAGTCTCCGGCCGCGGCCTTTTTGCTTCCTCTTCGCATGCTGTGCCTGCGTCTGCTTACATTCCACAACTGTGTTCTTGACCTGCAGTGAGGGATATTCGAGAAGGTGTTGCCTTGCCGATCTTTGCAGGTGGCCGCCGTCGTGGAGAAATACTCTGAAGATCGGAGACCCACCGTGTCGTGGCCAGGGAGAGTGGGCCAGGGATCAAGGCCAATGATGCCATAAAGTGTTTTGCGGTGTTCTAGGCTATAGGCACTGCAGTGGGCTGTTACTACTTGTGCTAATGACTCCGGCCCCTAGGCCTCGTACTAGAACATCGACTTTGGTGTGCGCTTAGGATTCAAGGCTACGTGACTGCATGCTACTGTCGGAAATCGTAGACAGGGAGCATGTAGCCGTGACAAACCCGTCCAACCCCTTCAGAAGCTGAGCTGTGCACCCCGAAACCCTGGCCCGAATCCAGACCCTTTCATCCCAAAGCCGAAGAACCCCAAATCCTGAAGCCATAAAACCGAAGAGACGTCTCCGCAAAAGAGCCTTCATAGAGGCCCTATGGAAGCCCTAACGATCCTGTGTAGAAACTTACAGAACACTAGCCTACCCGAAGCGGCGGGGGGGGGGGAGATAAAAACGCAGACCCAGGCGGCCGAAGCTACACTCCGGCGTGCAGTGGCTCGAGGAATCGAGGTCGCCGGATGTGTGCGGCATATGGGAGTTTCCGAAAATTAGGGGGGCATTATCTGAGGGTCCCCTATTTTCGGAAAACTCCCATATATACTATTATACCGGGATATGGGGTTTTCGTCCCGTAGCTTTCTTCTTATTATAAGAGTCTGGTAAGTTGTATCTTACGGATGCCTTTGGAAGGGTCTTGCTCTGAGAGCTGAGCTTTTGACTGTAGGGGTTTCTTTTGTGGAGTTCGTATCGAGGGTCTTCGGACGGTGTTTTTTCTGTTTCGGGCATAACTTGACATTATGATTGAGGAGATTTCTCAGCGTGGTTTTGACAGGTTTCTGTGATGTAGAGGCTTTTTGGGCTTGTCAACTGGCGTTAGTGGATCTTGAAGCAACGCCGCTATGGTTTTGCACCTTACAGCCCTGCTGAATTAGAGGTTGGGCCTCGATGCTAGGGTTTCCTTCAAAGGGATCTAGAAGCGTTCCTTTAAGGGATCTACAATAGGGTCTATAGGGTTTCCGGTTGAGGTACAGGGATCAGAGTTCAGAGTTCAAGGCGACGCGGGCGCCAAAGGGCTGTGGTTAAGGCTTTAGGGTTTAGGGTTTATAGGGGTTTTGCAAAAAGGGGTTTTGGCTCTAGGGTTTAGGGCCTAATGAGTCTCGTGCCTTGAGCACTCCGCGCACAGGAGCAGAAGAGTTGTCACTTGGGCGGTGGTCTGTTGTTGGCTCTGGCGGCTGAAGCCCTTCAGTTCGTACCACATCTGAAATGCTGCATGTTTCGAGGGCTCGACGAAGCCGTGAGTCATGATTAGTGTAGCAACCTCAGTATCAGTTGTGGCTACTAGATCCCCGGTTCTGAGACACAGACGTAAACCTCGGCTGCCCCGAAGCTTCAAGGTCTCTATCCCAGCCACCCCAAACCCTGATGGCCATTCCACATTCCCCAATCCCCATGCTCTAAACACCTCAACGCCAATGCAAGACCCGAAGTCTCAGCAGGTGGGCTGGACGACAAGTGCCGCAGTGCTGCGGGTGCGCGGGGAACTGACGTTTAGGAACTAGCATCAGACACCCACGCCGATCTGGAGCTCGACACCCCCCCACTAGCGGCCCTCAGAGCCTCATCGAGCGCGAACTGGCTGAAGCAGTTCTATAGCCGTTGTAGTAGCACTTGTTCGTGGTGGTGATGGTGATGGCTGATGTAGTCATCATCGCAGTGACAAGGCGGCAATGGTGACCGTAGCAGTAGTAGTAGTGAGACTAGCGGGAGAACTGGCAGTGATCGCAACATCGGAGCTCCTGACCATGCCCTTTCCTCAAACTTCGTTGTTTACCCCGCCCTCGCCCCGTTCAATTTATGCACCAGGATGCAGCAGGAACATCTCCCTGAGAGGCGAATGTGCGGGCGGGCAGGGCCGAAGCGGCTGAGAAGTGGCTCGAGGAGGTGAAGGCTGTCGGGGTTTAAGTTTTGGTAGCTGATCTTGGGTGACTGCGTGTGGCTTGTGGCTCAGGCGTGCTCAGCGGGCTGGGTGTGAGTTCGGTCGAGCCAACCTGAACAGGGATTTTGTGTTAGTGTTTCATGTTTTCGTGTTATTGATGAACGCCTGAAATGACTTGACACGTTCATCGACATAAAGCCGTGCGATTTAAGAGAGATATCCAGTGCTTACGGAGAAGCCTAGAAAAAAGCATGGCGAGCTCTCTTTGATTCTGCTCTTGCGATCAGGGTCCCTGCAGTTTTCCGTTTTTACATCAATTACGCCTGCAGCCAAAGCCTCGTCAACTGTCGAGTCTCAGAGCTCTGGGCCGCGGTCAAGCCTCGACAGGCTCTCGCCCCTGCGAGACACTTGCCTACGCGGAAGGCTGGCGGCGGCACAGAAGATTTAGGATGTGGCACTTGCAGGGCTCCCTGAGTGAAATTGAGCTGCATTCAGCACTGCGAGCCTGGTACAGGTAGAAGGCTGCGGCCTGGCAGGTCATCCAGTTGCCTCTAAATCCAAAGCTACGGACCTGCGCCCACACCTGCAGGCCAGCCAGGCTGCGATGTATCGCTCCATGTACGGCCTGCTGTTTCTGGGCTAAAGGGGGGGACTTCATATGCGAAGGCTGAAGGCCCTCCATTTACTCAGGTTTAACCTAAGCAAGCCGGCACTCAAGAAGAGCCAGGAGGTTGATAGTGTCCTTGTTGGGCTCGTTGTAGGATTCTGCATCGAGCTTGTTGGAGCCATGAGTTTGAGCTCGGACCGACTTCGCTGGATGCGACTTTGTTGCCGGAAGGTCCGGCCAGCATACATGCACGAAGCACCGGCGATTTCCACTCAAGTCCTAGATTCTGGACCCTGACCCCTAAGGCCCCGAAGGGTATATACCTAGGGGTGCTTATTAAGGGTCCCCCCTTTTATCCTTGGAATTCATAGAGTGCTGAGGATCCGAAGTGCAGCTGCAGCCGGGGAAGTGCAGAAGGCCGGGGCAACCTGAGCGAGCAGGATTCGGGAGTTTCCGAATCCTACCTACTATTTAGGGTACTATATTAGGGGTACCTTCTTTAGGGCTCCTTATAATAAGGATCCTACTATTTAGGTACTATATTAAGGTCCCCTATTTTCGGAAACTCCCATTCAGACCTGTCACCAGACTGCGTCGTCTGCAGACCAAAAGCCTGAGCCACAAGCTCTTCATTACTCTCGCTTCGTAGTATGTCGGCATAAACAGCTATCAGCAGTATGTTTCGGGTTTCCTTTGTGATATGGCGATTCTCTATTTTGTTAGTTTTTGTTAATGTCACTATATTATTCCACAGACGCAAAGACGTGAAGCCGTGCCGAAGGCCGAACAATGGCTGGAAGAGCGGCTGGGCTGCCATATCCTGCATGCTAACCGGACCCCACAACCCCGTCCTTGTCGTTTCAGGATTGTGAGTTCGCGGGTTATGCAGGCTGTCCGGCACAGTCGGCACGCAGATGTCAGTAGCGTACATGGTGCCTTTTTTCTGGTTTTTGACTCTGTTCTACTTGTGTTCGGCTCCTATCTTGCTCTTGTCGCCTGCTCTTATCGTTGCCGGCCAGCAGTCTGTTGTTTCAGCTCTCCATCAGTCACTCAGGCGTGCTCGCTTCGCGCTGTGTCGACGTTTCTGCTTGTTTTCGTCTTCTCGCTCTTTCCGGTGGGTGGCGGTCCGAAAAGCAGCATCAAGTCAAGTGACAGTACAGTGTCGGCGTGCCGCCGTGTGTTAGCAAAGCCAGTCCTTGATCCATGCGGTTTGAAAAGCCTGAACAACTGCCGATTCCATTTTTTAGGTTCCTTATGATAATTACGGTATAATGGGCCCCAAAAGCCTACCCGAATCCAAGGATGCACGTGCTGCGGCTGAAGCCTGCGCCTGCCTGGACTAAAGCGGACTCCCGGTCGCGATTGAAGAACTTCCCTCGGAAATGCTTGGATCCGGCATGGAGTGCAGGGCCTGATTCCTGGAATAGCTTGCCATGAGGAATCAACCTCCTAATTACCTTATAGGGGTACTTCGAATTTTTTTTAATTTTTGGTTATTATAATCCCTAAGAAACAGCTCTTTTTTTGCTAGGGTTCTAAGTTCAGTATAGAATTACTGCGTTGATCAAACGGGTTTCGGCTGTGGTAGATACATATGGTCCGACTCCGAACCCCCCCGCCCAACACGACAAGCCTGTAAAGGCTTCAAGTTTGTTGACCACATGGCCATGACATAATTCTTTCGGGGAGGGAGAGAGACAGAGAGAGAAGGCGCAGTTTCGACAAAAGAGCGGGGTTTGTGGGACAGAGATTGGCACGCTCACTGAACACACGACCGTTGCCACTCCTGAGGCCCGGGTTGCAGGCAGATCACAAAATGCAGCTGGGTTGGAAAAGGCAGTTTGGTTAAGGGTTTAGGGCTAAGAGTCAAGGGTATGATCGATTTCAAGGTGCTTCTCGTGTGTGGCGACTGGGAGAAAGACAGAACTTACTACTTGGGGGTTCTTTACTGGGTCATGTGGGGCTCTTCATATCTCAAACTTGCCGTCTTTGGAGAACATGTTCGCAGTGCATATGCGTCTGCCCGGCGAGCAATCCAGCAAGCCACGGCGGGTTGCTCGAGCCAAGCCCCTTAATGAGCAGTCAGCCCGCTCTACCGGCAAGAGGAACCAAGCCCATCACATAAGTTTTCATCCCAGCTGCTTGCATCGCCCCAGTTACTTTGCAAGTTTATAGTATGTAGGTGGTGCCCCCAGTTGCTCATACTGAGGCACCCGGTGGGGCAGATGCTGCGTGCACTTCGCCGGCGAAAAAAAAACAAGTTGTGAGAGCAGACTCTGCATTAGCTGCCTGTGTCTTTTACATGTTCCCTTGTACGTATTATGCACACCCTTATTTGTATTCATCTTTGTCGGCTTACTGATATTTCGCGAGTGAGCATCGTGCATGGGGCTTCAGTTCGGTTCGACTGAGATAACCTGAGAAACGATCCTCGTCCCGTTCCTCTGACTATGGACCCAACAAGGATCGATCCTTTTCTTCGGTCTGCACTTTAGGGTTTGGGGTTGGCCTTCTTGCTTGTCGTGCCTCGTGCCAACTGCGCTTGACAAGAAGATCGAAGGGTCACAAGCATCGAACACCGTGATTCCAGTGAGACCTGGAACAAGTTCCTGACTAAGCTAATGAACAGCAACGAGTTGCTCTTAGGTTTTTTTAAGGGCGCATGTTGCGTTTTCTACAGCCAATTTTGCAGTTTTGGGCCTCTGGGACTCGGATCTCTTGACCAGGCTTGGAGTTCATGGAAGGACAGGGCTGACGTCTCCAGAGAAGCAGACCTCCGGGAGGCTGCGGGGGGGGGGTGGGGGGGAGCGGATTAGGGGTGTTCGGGATTTCAGCATCTCCTAAGTGCCTTTCGAATATATGTCCCTCCTGGGCGAGCGAAGTAGAGTTAGAGGAAAAGCGTACTTCTTCCGAGACTTGGCATTCGTGTGTGGACAAGAACTCAGGGTCCTCGAAACGTTGCCTGTTTCAAGTTTTAACGATAACCATAGGCCCCAAAGTAGTTCCTTTTTGGGGCTCATATAAAGAATTCTATAAGGTAGTCCCAAAAAGGAACTACCTTGGGGCCTCTGATGGCCTCTGGGTAACCAAGTCCTCAAGCCCGAATCCCGCAATTTCTTGCCCCCTCCCAGAGCATCCGGAAACGCATCACTATGAAATGGCTCAGCCTGATATCACGTATAGTTTTGTGGCAAAGAAGCAGCGAGCGCAGCGTTAAAGCAATGGCACACGAAACAGTAACAGAACACAACATCATTACAGCGGTTACAGCTCACAATACCAATGCAGCTGACATGGGAAATCGTGTGCCAACTTAGCCCGCTCCTGTCAGCCAAACCGACAACGGTTACGACTCAGCGATGACGGTTACGATTTGGGGCTTCAGCAGAAACAAAGTCGTTTTTAGATGCCGAAACCCTCAGTTTCCGCATGGACTTCAACCAAGCTCACTACTGCCAGGTTTTCTTGACGTCTCTGTCAGCTGAATGCCAAAGAGGAGCTGAGGGGATGCGTAGACCGACAGCACGTGCACGATGACAGGTGATGGTAAGGTCTAGTATCGACAAGAGTTCAACGAGTCAACACTCGTAATAATTTTAATAACGGCAAGCAGAGGCCCGTGGCATGTTTAGCAACAACCGTCTGCAGGGGCCTCGCCCTAATGAGCCCGACCTCATATAGCCTGGGCTCTGAAATAGACCTCAGGTCACGCAAGCAGGGCGCAGTACTAGGGGTCCCTAAACTGCACAGCCTTCCGGACCCTTGCTGCCAGACACCCGAATATATTGGCCATAAGAACTTTACGCCTGATCATGGCATTCGAAGCTAACGTTGGCAAAGCCGCCGGAAGAGTACAAACGTCTCCTGCACAATTCGAGCACGACGCATCGCAGAAAGCATTTTCTTCCTGCCCAGAAATGGAGGGCTGAGGTATGTGGTGAAGCTTCAGGTGAAGTCTCGGATCCAGGAAGGTGTTGCAGGCGTCGAAGAGCCAGAGAGAGAGAGAGAGAGAGAGAGAGAGAGAGAGAGAGCTCATGAGACGTGTACACTCACCAGCACCTTGCACCCGAAGCACACATGGGCGGTTGTCAAAATTAGGGTCCCTTTTTGTGTACCCTGTAATGATACGGCATCTATTATTTAGGATACCCAAAAAGGGGACCATAATTTTGACAACCACTCACATAAACTCAGACCTTTCCCGCAGCTCTGAACGAAGCGGCATCTGCGGGTTTTGCCGGGGACCGCTTGGAGGACACATGCTTCGCCACTTTCGGTGTCAGTTTAGGGTTGAGGGGTTTAGAGTTTAGGGGTTTAGGGTGCAAGGATATGGCTAACCCCAAGCCCAGTGGCAAACAGGGGTTTAGGGGTTTAGGGTTTAGGGTTCAGTTTATGTTGCGGCTCTTCATGCATATTTTT